CCCCAAAACCCCAAAACCCCAAAACCCCATGGGAAGAAAATAGAACTGACAATAAGATAGAGTAAAAATCAAAGAAATATATTCTAAATTTAAAATTATACAATATTAGGGGAATCTATTATGGAAAACATGAATTACTAAGCAAATACCTATGATTCTGATTACGATGATGAAGATGCTGTTATGCAAGAAGAACAAGAATAAGAGGTTCAAAATCAGCCTAGTCAATAAAACCACTAGAAAATTATGGAAAAATAGAAAATTATTTCCAATTAATCATCAATAATGCTCACAAGATCTCATGATAGTTCTTAAGGATCTGGTGATTGCTCTTATTGCAATGGGAAAAGGGAAACATTTTAGGGTCTTCAAGAGGGATTAAAAAGTCATAAATCAGGGTTTGGCTCAACTAAAATGCGATGTGACGATTTTGAAGAATTACTAAATAAGGGTTATTCTAGAAGTGGAACATATTTTTACCAAAGAAACTTTAAAATGGCTTGCTGTGAAACATTTTAATATAGAGTATGGATGGATAAGTTCATGCCATCAGAGTCACAGAAAAAAGCAATTAAACGATTTCACAGGTATTTAAACTATGGAACAATCAAGAAAAAATAGGGAAATTTAAACTAATATAATGGTATTGATGAAGAATAAAAAGTTGAAGAAAATTTGGATAAGTAGTAAAAAGTTAATGATTGCAATGATAATATAAACAAAACATCAATTAAAGTTAACTAGTCTTAATGTAAAATTTCTCTTGAAAACAGAGAGGAGTCTGAAAAAATTCTAAGGCTGGTTAAGTAAGTTGTATGTTAAAATCTATAGTCTTCAGATTAAATAGATTTAGCTAAGGTTAGAGTGAGCTTTAATGCTAAGCATAACTGCATAGCAACAAATGTACTTCTTGTCATTAAAAATCTATAAAGTATTTAGGAATAATTGGTTAATGAATTATAAAATACAATAAATACGATAGGAGAAAAAATATCATTCAATAATATCAAGTTGGAAAATCAATTTATTAATTTCTATCAGCCTAATACAATCGAATTTCTTAAAGAAGAAAAATAAGCTAAGTAAGAGCAATATAAAAAGGAAGAAAGGAAAAAAATAGAGAAGCTTAAAAAATAAATTGATAATAATATAGGATCTAACTAGTTTGAATAGGTGAGGGATTAATATCCTTAAAACCATTATAAGAATTACTTAATCGAATATAATCCATAAGATCCAATTGATCCTAACTTTAAACCAGCACATAGCTACACTATTGAAATGAGAGGTGCATTTTACACTGAGGAATTTTATAATCTATATGCTAAATATGAAAAAACTATTCATAAAAAGGACAGGGAACCTACGAATTTGAAGAGATTTTTGTGCAATAGCCCTGTATATGATCCTGATAGAGATTTTAACATGGCTATGAGTCCTTCAGAACCAGATTATAAATATATAGATAGTAAGTTCCGAGTGGATAAAGATATGGGTATATATCCTGGCTATGGGACTTTCCATATGTATCATAGAATAGACGGTAAACTAGTCGCTGTAAATGTGATTGATATACTAAGAGAAACTTATGTGAGTGGTTATTGCATTTACGATCCAGAAATGCACTTTCTAACATTAGGAGTAGTAACAGCAATAAGAGAATTGGAATATATGAGATTAATCAAAGCTATATACAATCCATAATTAAAGTACTATCAATTAGGAGAGCTGGCTGTTACTTGTCCAAAAGTCAATTACAAGCTTAAATACAAACCAGGATTTATGATTTGTCCAAGGACTAAAGCATATGTCCCAATAGAAAAATGCTTAGATCAGATTAAAATCTTATCTTAAATGACTATTGAGGAGAAAATTTCCCTGCCTTACATCTAAATCGACGACTATGTATGTGAGGGCCCTTTGGAAAATGAACTCTTGCCAGAGATATTTAAGGAAGTGATTAAATAATTTCCCTTTGTATATGAGGATACCTAGAGATTAAATATTTCTGCCCTTTAGGAAAATGGAAGGAAACTATTAAAGGGTGCTTTATCTGAAATGTTGATGCATTGTGGATTTGATCTATTCTCTAAATTCAACTTTGAACTTAAATTTTTAAAAGAGGATCCCAAGTAAGAAAAGAGTGAGAAAGATGATTAAGATGATACCTAATAATAGAAATAAGTTTAAAGCCATTGAGAAGATATTCATATAACTTTGATACATAAGTCACTAATGACTTGATTTAAATTTGAAGAATAAAAAGAGATTTATATCAATGGTCAAATACTGTTATAAGAAATCTTAATTATTATTATTTCATACTTCTATCATGATTTTTTAGATTTCAATGAAGGGGTTTTGGGGTTTTGGGGTTTTGGGG